ACGAAACCTAGTGGGTTATAGGTTATCGATGATTCCGAATATGAATATGAGAACTGCCCTGTGGGCTCCGAAGATCCGTTTTTCTGGAAAACCAGTTTTTCAGAAACTCTGAAAACCCTAAATTAATTTCGTCTTATTTCTGTAGCTTCGAGTTGACAATGAATATTTAGGGCTTTTCTTGTAAACTCTATAACTTTGCAAAGAAAGGTCATGTAGAGCTGGGAGAGGTCTCATTTTAATCAGAAATGTGCGGGCTACAAGCATGGCTTATTAAGAAAAGCTTTAGGTGTTTTTTAAGAGTTGCTGAAAAACTGGTTTTCCAGAAAACCGGGTCTTCGAAGCCCTAAGGGCAGCTCTCATATTCATATTCGGAATCAGCATCATCGATAACCTATAACCCACTAGGTTTCGTTCAAAAAGCGAGGGGACACTTACATATGTTCCCTCGTTAGTGATAGTATGGAATTAAAACAGTAAAGAACTATACGTTAGCAATTATAAAAAAGTAAATGCACAACAGATTAAAGTCTACAAGGTTTATGAATAAGATAAGAGTTGAAAATTATCTATAAAAAGATTATATTGTTGGTACAACTATGCATAAAAGGAGTCATTTTGTTTCCATTTCAAGATTATGTAATTAGAAAATCTCTGCATATGCTGTGTATATTATGCACATTCCACTTATATGATCACATATTTCTACCCCTTTCTGTTCTGGAAAAATTTCATGTTTTTAATCTCTGACATGAATGTGGGAGTATGAAATAATATTAATATCATGGTGATCATGATAAAATAATGAACGAGATCAGCAAGATGATAAAAGTAAATTAAGAGTTGTAACATTCTAGTAATGAATACAGAATGATCATCTTTCTGTTCTTTTCCCACGTATAAAAGATGCATAGATGCGACTGGAAATTCTTATGAATTACATTGAGTAGCTCAGCTTTTCGATCAATTAAAACTTGCAGACAAATAAAAGCTTTAAAATATTTGCTTATCATCCAACACTTGTTTTCCAAAATTCCACCTTGAAACGATTTTTGTCTCCGTTCGTGATTGGGACATGTATCAATTAGCACATCTATCTTTCAACAAGAATCTCATCTCCTTTATTTCTGATCTTTTAAAATCGACTTTGACTATGAGTTAGATAAAAGCATTTTAAATTTATGGAAAAAGTTCAAACAGAAAAATCGTATGTACAAACAAAATATTCATTATGTTATCCTTTCTGTAAACACAAAAGCTGCAGACTTCGATGATATTTCTGCAGACTGCTTAAAGTGTCTATCTCACGTCATTACTTCTCTATTACAGCATCTCTTCAGTAGATCAATGGAGCGAAGTATATTCCCCACATTGTAAAAAATGCGCTTATACACGCGATACACAAAAAATATCTTGAGTGGTACAATGGAAAATCATCGTGATTTTCGTGCATGGTTCACGATCAGAGTGGGGATCCGACTATACTTTCTGTTAAAATCGCCATTGGCACTAATGATAGTAATCTTGAATCGATAAGATCTTTATTCCTCTTGATCTTATATGCTAGTTCAATTCAACACGAACAAATGCTGTTAGATTCTTCTGGTAAGTCTTTAGCCTATTTACTACTACTTGTTATTAACCTTGAAAACACTCAGTTGCAATGAATGTTTGATTTCAAACTACTTGGAGTTCATCCTGGAACTTGGATCTATTCTAGAAAGGTCATATTAAAAAATTTACCATCGTTGTTGATATGTTAGGAGCGATCGATCGAACATTTGGTGATACAGCATCACCGTTATATGACAGCTTTATATCATTTATGTGCCGTAATCGCATGCCCTGTCTTGTTTTGAATTGAAAATTTATGTTTAATAAAAATCCAGTTCTAAAAATTCTGTTTTTGCCCTCTTCCTATAGCACAAAATCCCAACCGAGTCGTTTCTGATTAGAACAGACTCCGAATAAGTAAAACTTCTAACAATATGTAGAACCCAATATATTGAGCGTATGCATAATCGGCGTAAAAATAGGTCTCAACACTAGCGAGTAAAATTTGACTATTTTCAGTATAAATTGATATTACATTATACAGAGGGTTTATGTTTTGAAAGAGGTATATTAAGATGTCAAAATATTTTTTTTTGATGATCATTCAAAAGACAAAAAGTGTAAAACTTATTCAGACGGATAATTAATTTTTGTTTAATAGTAATGGAAATAGTTTCATACGACATACAGCTTTCCTATTTTACTTTTTCATCAAATTTAGATCTAGTTTTCTCAGCAATCAAGCACGTTACATGGAAAACGAGAGCATCGCCTGATAGAGCAAATCGAGTATTATCATAATCAGTATATTGATGATTCTGAACACGGTAAATAAGAGATACTAAATTCATTTAAGACACATTTTCTACGATGAGTCATCACGTCAATAAAAGGGATATATGATCAATAATAAACAGTTTTCGTTTGTGAAGTTCTATTTTTAATTTTGATATTTTAAACTCGACTGTTTCTATTGAATAAATTTGTTTTATAATCGCTTTTTATTACAATAAAGGTCAAATCTCGAAAACTAGCTCTCCATTGTTTTGATGATGTTCTACGTCTATATTCTTAACTTAGTTGAGAAAAAAAGTACAGAAAAGCAATTTCAAAGACTATACGCGTAGTCAGTTCAATTTTCCAAAGCTTGAGCTTTTCTGTGAAAAAAAGAAAAATGGTTGTAAAACAAATTTATTCTACTTTTTCGTCTCTTGTTCTTTTCTTCCAAGTCACAAAATATAGACTAAAAAATGGAATGTGGTAGAAGATGGGTGTTTCACGTATGAAAAACATTTCCCCATAGGACAAATTGTTTCGATCAACGGATGACAAAAAGAAGGGAGTATTTAATCGAATGAATAAGGTGAATTAAATACTATTGCATTGTCTCTATCTCATACACATATATCGAACAAATGTTTAGCAATACGATTGAATATTCAAAAGATCGAGACATCAGATGAACTTTATATCGATATATCTGATATATTTAGTTTTTGAAGTTGTAGGTTAGCGAACTATGCCAAAAAATTTTGTAGCTGTGATTATTATTAAATTCAAAAAAACTTAACATACAACAAACAAAACGTTCAATAATATAATAATAATAATAATAATAATAATAATAAACAGAGAAAACAAACTGTGCAACAGTAAAATGAATGCAATCAACAGTAAGAATACTACCTCAGACAGAATGCGAGAGGAGTAAAAGAACGAACATACAGACAGACAAAGCTTTTCCATGATAAACTATATAGCGAGGCAAAAATGAAAAAAAAAACCTAGCAACCAAGAACAATAATTGATAATACAAGCACAAAACACACATAAAAAATATACTGTTTCTTTAACTCAAAAGAAATATGATGCACGCTTGCAAACATTATGTAACACAGTAATAAAAGGACGCTAATACAAAGCACATGTACGGCTAATTGAAAAAGAAAAAAGATTAGTAATAACGGATGGAAGAGAAAGCTCGGAAGCAGTAGAAGCAACCGTACATGATTTCTTGACAATAAAATGCGATTGGGAGGAACATTTTTTTTCAAAATTGGGTAAGAAAAAGAAAAAATACATTTTGTTCAGAGTCAGATTACAAATGAAAGACAAACTCGTGCAAAATAAATCAGTTTGATGATTGGCTCATTTTTCAAAGACAACTGACGTTGACTTGAATAAAATTTTGTTGTTCGATTTGGTTTTGAAGAAGCTCATGCGTTCACACATACCAAAAAAAAACTGAATTAATTAATACTTTATAGGCGAATACTTCGGAATATTTCGAAAAAGAAGACAAAAGAAAAAAAAGCATGCCAAAAAATAGATAGTTTCTAGATAGTAAAAAAAAATTCTTCTTTAAAAAAGCAAAGATCAATAACCAGGAACACAACAACAAAGACGAATGAAAAATAAATATATTTTACTGGTGGGTTTTTGAAGGAATGGAATACTTTGCACGAAACATCTAAATTATGTATATACACAAGACAAACATAATGGATGGGACAATAATAATAATAAGTATGTACAAAGAAAAAACCAATACAATTGACTGCTATAGATATTGATTCATCTCTTTGATAATACGACACCATCTGACTGTCGTATATCGAAAGATAAAAAAGAAAAAGAAAAAAAAGAAAGGTAACAACAATAACAGCAACAACAACAGCAACAGTAACGATGCAAATGAAAAATAATCTACTAATACATTCAACAAGTGAGTGTGTGAGAAAGAGAGAATATAACAATATATACTGATTAGGAAGAGAAAAAGAAGTATAACAATAAATTTGGTAATAATAACAACAACAACAACAACGTTTTTAAAAAGAAATTTTCAATCTTTTTTTTATATGTTTTTTTGTTTGTTTTAATTTTAAATTTTTGTGTCAAAATAATAATCTAAGATAGAGAAAACAAACTAAAACAAAACAACAATAACAAGAAAAAAAAACAACATGTTATAAGAATAGACCAGTTCTTATTTTTCATAAAAAAAAAAGTTTGTTCAATTCTGAGTAAAATGATTAGATTCATTTTATTTGAAATGGAACATTCTTTTCAAAGAAGAATAATACTAGTGTAATACATATAACGGGAAGATATGAAGATGCTAATGCTGGTATTACATAAAAAATATAAAAAAAACAACAGCAAACAACAACAACAGTAATAGTAATAATAATAATAAAAAATTGAAAACAGGTTCTTGTTCGTGACAATAGAAAAATTTTGATCTTTTGCATTTTTTTTTTTTTTTGATCGTATAAACCGGAAATTTGAGTATTACAGGAAGAATTACACGCGAAGGTCTCCACTATTTTTTTAAATATATATAACATGCAGCGAGAAAAATAACAGAAAAAGAGGAAAATTCATATTCAAAGAAAAAAAACTTCCAGAAATTTATATGTTACTATTTTTATTTTTTCAATGTGTACTTAACAATACCCATTTGAAGTTGATAACGTTTGTTGAATTTGATCAATTTGATTTTGTTGATTTGGAGATGTACAAGTAATTTGTGGTGTTGTTGATGATGATGAAATAGGTGAGGCAGGCGATGAAGAATTTGTGGTATTTGTAATGGCTGTTGTTACACCATTTGTACCAGGTGTTGTCAAATAACGATAAACATAGACTCGATAGTCTTTACTGGCTAATACAACAGAACCATCATCCATCAGGGCAACATCAAAACATTGCGCATGTTTAACTTTACTTTCTAATGCGCTTATTAAATTTCCATTTTGATCAAATATTGTTATATTAAAATTATTATGATTATCAGCTACCAATACATCACCATGACTGTTAATAACAACGCCAATTGGATAATTTGTTATACCTATAAAGAGAAAAAGATTTATAGAAAACAAACTTTACTAAACAGAACAACTGTTAGATCTAACGAGGGACCTTTTTCAACTGTCTAATCGCTTTCTGGTCGAAACCTAGCGGGTTATAAATTATCAACCACCCTGACTCCAAATATTCATATGAGACAGGTCGCTAGGTCTTCCTAGAGCGGTTTTCCAGAAACCTTGAAAAGTCTCTAAAACTTTCTCTTAAATAACGATTATAGCCCACGAAATTCTGATCAAAATGAGACATCTCCCACCTCTACATGACCTTTCTTTGCAAAGTTATAGAATTTACAAGAGAAGCTCTAAATGTTCATTGTCAGCTCAAAGCTACAGGAATAAAAAGAAATTAATTTATGGCTTTCTTGTAAATTCTATTAACTTTGCAAAGAAAGGTTGTGTAGAGGTGGAAGATGTATCATTTTAATCAGACTTTCGTGAGCTACGATTGTGATTTATTAAGAGAAAGTTTTAGAGACTTTTCGAGGTTTCTGGAAAACCGCTCTAGGAAGACCTAGCGACCTGTCTCATATGAATATTTGGAGTCAGGGTGGTTGATAATTTATAACCCGCTAGGTTTCGACCAGAAAGCGATTAGACAGTTGGAAAAGGCCCTTCGTAAGTAAAATAAAGAAAACTTTTTATTCATAATTACCTTCTGAACCGATTGTACGCAAAAACTGTCCATCTACTTGAGAAAATACTTTAATACAATGTGCCCGATTATCACTGATAAATATTTCTTGTTTATCATTACAACATACGCCATTTGGAAATTCTAAATATTTTGAACATGTAAATTTATTCAATACATTTCCATTACAATCAAAAATAAATATTCTCATCACTTTGCATTCTACAACAATGATTTGACCACGATTATCCACACAAACTCCTATAATTCAATTTTAAAATAATATAAATGTAAAGAGATATGTATATAATAATTATATTTTTTATTAAATTACCACGTGGATGTTGTAAAACATTTGCACCAAATTTTCTTATAAATTGTCCATATTGATTATAGATTTGTATCTGATGTGTAGGACTTCTTTCAGTGACAACAATATCACCTGATTGTCGAAAAACAGCAACGCGACTATAAAAAATAGTTAATAATTAGAGAAATTAGATAAGTAGAAATTTTATTAATTAGAGACTGTTACATACTTTGGATATAACAATTGACCTTCGCGTTTACCACATTCACCAAATTGAAAACGAAATCGTCCTTTATAAATGTAAGATTTTTATATAAATTTTAGTAAAATTATTTAAGAAAATAAAAAAATAGTTACCATCTTTATCGAACACTTGAATTCGATGATTATTTGTATCAGCAACAATAATATCACCTTGACCATTGACAGCTATACCAGATGGTTCAGTAAATTGTCCTTCCATTACACCAAATTCACCAAATTTTAAATGATATATCATTTTATGTCGTTTTAATGAACCATTTGGTCTTGATGGTAACATTAAATGCTGTGGAAGTGTTGAATAGTCCAGATTTGAAAGACTATCCATTACCATATCAACTAAAAAGAAAGAAAGAAAAAAAGATTTTTATCATATAGATAAAATTTTAAGAGAATTGGATACGTACCACCAAGATCCGTAGTACCATTTGTTGATGCCGAAGATGATAGAGGAGGCAACGATGGTAAAGTTGGTACTGATGGTGCAGAAATGGGCGATGTTATTGAAGTTCCACCAGTTGACCATAATTCATACGGATTAATATCATTCGTTGACGATTGAAAACTGAGCGGTGTTGGTGTAGAATATTTTTTCAAATTCGATGATAATGTAAGCATCTCTAGACCATTTAGTAATGATGATGTATGTAATTGTGATTGTGATTGTGGAGTGTTATTATTATGCTGTTGATGGTGTAGTTTTGTTGGACTAGAGCCACTATGATGATTATGATTATGACAGGCATTATTCATTGATGTTATTGGTGGCGCAATTGGACGTGGTTTATAATGATTATTCTATAATATTATGAACAATTTGTGAATATAAGAAAACAAAAATATTTAGATAAAATAATTACTGTTGCCATTTCGGGTGATGTTCTAACATAACCAAATGTATTTCTGACACCTGTTTGTATTGCTTGAAAATTTGATACAAATTCAATTTCAAATGCTGAATGCATATTTGGATCGGGCATTATCTGAATAATCGTATTTAATTTATTTTCTAATTGTTTTTTATATAATAAAATTTCTGTTGTTGATGAATTTTTAAATAAACGATCAGAAAAATCTAATGGCTATAATATTAAACAAAAAATAAATAGAAGACTAATTTAAAAGTTTCTAAAAATAATATTTAAATATAAAATAATTTACCTGATTTGCTTTTGTCAATGTTTCATCAATCTTTTGCATTTGACTTGTTAATATTGTTTGTTTTTCTGTAAAACCATTATCAAGTTCCTTAATTTAAAAATATTATTCAATGTAATGAAAATAGTTAAATTGATTTTCTTTCTTTTTTTTTTATACTTTTATTAATTCATGTTTTCGTTCTTCAATTAATTGACGATAAAAATTGTATGTCTCATTGATATCATGTTGCGCTTTATGATATTGAGTCTAAAATAATTTTGAACAACAAATAAATAAAATATGAGTAAATAAGAAAACAGACAATTAGTCGAATAAAATAACAAAAAAACAACAACAACAACAAAGAAGAAAATTCAATATGAAGAGATTTATATCAAATCATATATGCATATTTGTACCTGTAACATTCCATAAGCTCGATCAAATGTTTTCTGTGAATGTTTTAATTCATTTAAACGTAAACGTGTATTTTCCACCATATTTTGTAATTTAGCAACTTGATGAGATCCTAAATGTTAATAAATAATATATTCCATATTTTTCCTCTATTTTTTCTATTTTATCTTACCAGCATCATTCAATGGCATATATTCATGATTTCGGCTATGATCCGTTGTTGTACACTCTTTGCATACTAGAAAAAAATAAGAAAATAAAATATCTATTTTTATAAATAGATGATATTAAAGTTTCACTTACTTGGTATGTTACATGTTGAACAAAAATATTTTAATGATTCATTTTTATGATTTATACATGGACGTAAATCATTATTATTAACATTTGATTCAAATTCTTTTATATATACAACCTTAAAGAGAGAAGAAGAAAAAACGTGTGTAATAGAAAAAAATAAAACACAAAACAAAAAAAGAAGGTTTTGTATGTGTAAATGAATACTGACAACAATAAAAAAATAAAATAACAACAAATCATTATTAATATGTTATTGATTGATCACAGATTTTTTTAATCAATACACCGTTTATACTTAATGGCAAATAGTTAATTTTATGGAAACATCTCATATGAAAATTGTTTGATTATTATTCGTCTAGCTTAACAAACAAATTCTTTTTTTTTTACCCTAACATCCTGTTTCTCGTTTTTATTCTTTATTTTTATTTTTTTTCTATATGTCTGTTGATTATCCCGCAGGTTAGTCTAAGAATCAAAGAAAATGAATGAAAGGAAAAAAAAAAAAATCGGATAATCATTTAACATTTGTTTTTTAATGTTCTCTTATGTTGATTTCTATGAGGAATATATTTTGTTGTTTTGTTTTAAGAAGATAAAAAAGTTAATATTAAGGTCAATAACAAACGTGTATATCATTAATATTTAAAAAGATTCTCGAATTCAACTAGGCAATTATCATTTGACACATAAAAGTCATAAAATAAAAAAAAGTATTCTCTAAATAATAAATGTAGAATGAGATTTTAAATTGCAAAAAAAATAAATTTAATCAAAGTTATTTTGTTTTATAGACTAAATTCTTAGGTTTTCTCTAGAGAAATAAAATCATTATAGATATTTTAGTAATAATAATGATCAACAACAAAAAATATAATCTGGTCTAATTTCGTCTAAACGTTTAATCAATAGAATATTAACAAATTTTAAAAATGAGTAAATTATTTTAACAATGTTCAAGTTGAAGAAAAAATTCTTCAACTACTTTTCGATTGATTTGTTTATTTCAAGAGAAGAAGAAGAAAAAAATGCCGTTAAGAAAGAAAACAAGATTTAATTTATTCCATCTCAATTCATATTTGTCGAAGAAGAAAAAAAAATAAAAATAAAATGTTATATTTAAACAAATTTAGACTATGACAAGTGGATACTCAACGTATTATATCGTTAAGAAGAAAAATTTATCTTTATTACTCAATAGATGAGATCATTGAATTCTCTTATCTCGACTAGTTTTATTTAGTCGAGATATACAAAAATGATCAAATTAAAATAAAAATACAAAAATTCTAATTGGTTTTTGAACATAGTCGACCATTTGTTTTTGTTATTTTTTATGTCGAATAAAAAAAAACTAAAAAGAAAAGTAATCATACACGTATTATTAAAATATTACCATTTGTTATATCGTACGAATAATTATTTGACATTAAATTAAAGAAGAAAAAACAAACAATGAACTATATAATGTTAAGATTCATTTAATATATTTCATTTACTAATGTAATGACGACTAAAAATACATGTGACTCTTCTTCTATTTGTTTCGTTTTATTTTTTCTTTGATAAAAAATAGTTGAAAAAAAATAATAACAACAACAACAAGACGATAAAAATCTTTTTTTTTTAAAAGTTAATGATCTTCGTGTTTTATACGGATCATAGTTATAGTATATAATAGGAAGAATATATAAAAAAAAATACCGCACAGAATCAAATAGTCACACACATGCCACAACAAATCATAAAAAAACTACGTTTTTTTTTTGCCTTTTTTTTTTTTCTTCTTTTATATGCTATCTTTTATATAACAATAAAGTTTGAGAACAAAAAAGAAATAGAATAATGATTGTGTTTTTTTTTCTTCTTCTTCTTCTTCTTTTTCAGGTTTCTTTTTCTTCGTTTTGTTTTTGGTGAATTGATCATATATAAAATAGATATGAAGAAGACGAAGAAAAATAAAGAAAGAAAGAAGAATATGAAAGGAAATAAGATTATTCTTAAAACTGAAAGCGGAAAAGAAAGGAGAAAAAAATTTTTTTTCTTTTTTGACAAAAATGACGTGATGGAAATAAAAAAAAAAAACAAAAAACAAAAGAAAAAAAAAAACTCTTATTATGGATAGTTCAGAATAGAAGTTTTTTTTTGTTTCCTTCTTTTTCTCGTTGTATATTTATTTATAGAATTAGATTCTGATTTTTTGAAAAAAAAACTACTGTGATATATAGAATGAATTCATATGTAACATGGAGAAGGATAAATAACAGATAATCAGTGAAAAACAACAGTAAAAAACACAAGGAAAAGAAGAAAAATAGAAGGCAATGAACCACTGATCGCTTAATTATCTATTATATAATCAAAGAAAAAAGTAGAAAAAAAAAACAAACGAAAAGAAAAAGAAATCTAATATAACAAGATTTTTATAGGACATAGTAATTTTAAAACCCGATTACAACTTAAACAAAATAAAAGAGACCTTCAAACTAGATTTAGAATCTTTTTTGGAACTATAAGTCGTCTTTTTTTTTTTTAATTTTCTATTCTACTCAACAGAATTTCCTCTCTTTTTATTGTTTATAACAATGAAAATATGTCCTATGACGAAATGTGAGGGATTATGAATGAAAATTTCTTTTTTTGTGACTCTCTAATTCTCTTTTGATACCGGATATGACTAAAGTACGAGGCTTGTCAATGTTCTTCTAAACATGAGTTTAAACTTCTCATCTCATCAACTTCAGAATTTTATTCAAACATCAGTTGAGAATAAGTTTTCTAGAAAAAGAACTCCCATGGAGCACTATTCATAAATATTCAAAAGAGAAAAGAAATCAACAACGAAAATAGGAGATAACAAAAAAAAAAAAAAAATTATCGATCGAGTATAAAGAGAGTGCTGTTGAAAGGCTCATTTTAATAATTTTCTTTTATGAATAAAGTATTCAGTTTATAATAAATATCATTCGACATCATGCAAACAAGATAGGACATGAATTTTTCTTTTTTTTTTCTTCTTGTTCTTCTTCTTTGTTTTCCCAATAAGAAAACTATCAACATCATTTAGTCTGACATAGAATTCTTTTCGTTTTATACGTTATTTTTACACAATAATGATAAAACAAAACAAAAAAAGAGAAAGGAGATAAATATGAGTAGAAAAGAGACGAAAGGACTATGTGATAAAAAAAAGACTTTCAATGAGTTAAAATGAAGAAAAAATAAAATAGATTGATTGATTAGTTAAAAAAAGGAGATTCTTTTTTTCTTTTTTCTCCCAAGAAAATGTAATAAAATCTTCAGTACAGAAAAAAAAAAAAGACACTGGCATAGTCTAAACGATAGTAAGATGAAAAAGTGGAAATAAAAATTTTGAATGTACTCTGAATTTTGTAGAATAAAATGCTGAGAAAGAGGAAGAAAAAACTGATTTCCTCCTTATAAATAATTACATTACAAATAATGAAAAATTACGAATGAGAAGAAAAAAAATCAATCAAAAAAAAAAGAGTGGAAAATTCGAGAAGTACAATGCTAAAATTGTTCAGTAATCTTTAAAAAATTATTTAATTCAATCAATCATGAAAATAAAATATATCGAATATCAACAAAACATACAACATAACGTTGAACTAAGTCCGGGTTATTATATTAGAGATGAAAGACAAACAAAAAAAAAAGAAAAGAAAAATGAAATTTGATTATTCATAAGACTTCTAAAGAAAGAGAAATGAAATAACTTTTATATTGACCATCCCACTAATTTCTATAAAACTCTTTTAAATTTAAAAAATATTCTTACGTTGTATGAAATAATGTGTTAACTAGTCTATTGTACGTTTGAAAAAAATGTGAATAATGAACAATCATTATTATCTCTTTGTGAATTTAATTTCAAGAAAATGAATTAATTATATCTTATAGTGTAAATATTTGTTTCAACACAAAACTCTTTTCTTCTTCTTTTTTTTTTATGAATTATAAATGGTATTTAATTCTATACCTGTGTCGACTTCTATTTAAAAAAATATAATTTTTTTTCATTTTTGTTTTTTTTAAATGTAAAAAATTGTTCGTACTTACTCTCTGACTATTTGAACAACATTTTGTTACACCACCTAATGATTCAATATTTTTACATGGTGTATAACGTTGTTGTGTTGTTGTTTCATTTAATGGCATCATATATTCTAATACATTATGTATTGTATAATCAGGTAATATATTTTGTACAATTGTTTTAAGACCACATAATGGACAATTGACATGATAATTTTCATTTTCATTATCATTACCACCATCACTAGTTCCATTTGATAATACAGGTAATTTATCAACACATGATTCACATATAGTATGAAAACATTGTAAAACACGTGCAGAATTTTGTTTTTTATATACCATACTGCATAAAGGGCAACAATGAAATATCTGCATATTATTATTATTATTATTATGATCGTGATGTTGTTGTTGTTGTTGAGGAGACAAAGAGGAAGAAGACGAGGATATTGAATCATTCATTAATAAATGATTTGGTAATGGACAATTATTGTAAGATGTTAATGGGGATGATGATGTTGAATGTATATTTGAACAGGTTGGAGAACTTGTAGATAAAATATTATTATTATTTGAATTAATATTTGTAGGCATAATAGAAATTGATGAAGCACGTTTTAAAATTGATGGTGATGAGGATTGTGGTGGTGAAGAAGAACAAGCAGAAATAATTGAAGATGATCTAAAAAAAAGTGAGACAAAAAGAAAATAAATTTTTTGTTTTACTAAAAAAAAGGAGATACTTTTATTGAAGAAAAAATGAATAAAACGTACGATAATAATGATGATGAACAAAAACCACTTTCGGAATATGAATGACTGCTACAACTACTATCGTGGCTTGTACACGCGGATAATAATGTTGGCTGTTGAACTATCAATAAATCATCATTGTCTAATGATGTTGATGTTGTCTTGGGTGGAAATAAATCAAGGATAGACGATGAAGAAAATGGAGAATTCTAAAACAAAAAAGATAAAATTTTACATTCGATTTGTTACTAGGCAGACAGATAATGGCAATTGATACACCCAACAAATAAAACGAACATAGAAAACAAGAAAAAATGTTGTGTTTAATGTTGTCAAGCTATTGCATGAGTTAGAAAATGTTAAGCTGCTGCTGCTGTTAGACACTCATAAAAATAGTCTTGCATTCTTAAAAAGAGTAGTTAAGATTATTAGGCATTTAATAAAGTTGTAAAAAACGGTGATTGTCGACGCGTATCATTTTTCTTTCTGTTGTCTTTATTTTGTTTTTTTGCTGCATTTTAATTAGAAAATGTTTGAAAGAAAAAGGAAAACAACAACAATATCACTTGTCTTTTTCTCGAACTAAGCTGTTATTAATCAAACTTGCGTTTCTCTCAAATAGATATTCAATTCTCTAATTGTAAGTATGAAAACAAGACAATAGATACAGTGAAATCATTGTTATTATTGTTGATTTTATAGCATATACGTTTTATGCTGTAATTATACTTATTTTTAACATAAATGAAATTTATTTGCGCTTTAACACCGTTTTTTCTTCTTCTTTCTTCTTTTTTTTTTTCTTTTTTCTTTACAAAATATATTTTGTCCTCTTTATATGACATTTATATTTATATTAGGTGTCAGAAAAAGAAAAATACTATTTTCCTGTTCACTAGATAAAATACATCTAACACATTGATTACATAAAAATTAGATAATTTCATGCCCTAAATATTAGCAAAATTGAGATTGATTTAGAGAATTTCTTTTCGAGTAATTTATTCTTTTGAAAACCAAAAATAAAACTGACAATAACAAAATACTTGAATAACTCTTTGAGCAAAAATGTTCTTTTGGGAAAAAGATATATAAAATCAGCTCAAACTATTCTAGATAACAGACTGGATTATTAACTTTAAATGCTCTATATCTAAGAGCAATGGGAGGGACAAAAATTCAATGAGAATGATGATTCAATATTTAAAGAGTAAAGTGTATAGTATCATTTGTAAAATTGTGTCAACAATGGGCGAAGTAAGAACGAAGTAGAAAAAAAAAAGAGAAAAAGTTTGAATAACCGCTTTGATGAAACGGGATAAAATAAAATAAAAGAGAAAAACGCAACGCACACAAAGCTCAGACTAAATTGAATCATTAAAAGTAAAATATGTTATAAAAGTCAATATTTGAATACATAGAAATGCCTGACATTTTTTATATTATTACTTTTTTTTAATAAGACTCAAAAGTAAACAAAGTGAAAATTAATTAATCGATACTATAGTCTATGTTAACTGTCAACTCTTTTTTTTTTCTTTTAAATAACTACTCGACAGTATCTCAATTCGTCGTGACAACATCTTAAAACTTTATATGTACTTGGAGAGCGAGAGAGAGAGAGTAAATACAGTTTCAAGCAGCAAGCATATTAGTAAAAATTTTTTGCATATGTTAAACGAACAATGTAAGAGAGTGTGAATATATGTTGTTAGATGGCAAAATTTTTCTTTTTTTTTTTTTGTTTTTCTGAAGATTTTCAAAACAAATCCATCAAATATTATTTTCTTTTTTGTCTCGTTAGATAAGAAGTTATTAATTAAATCGTATTATATACCGTAGCCAAACAAACAAACGCAAGAAGAAAAAAATAAGCATTCTTTTTTTTTTTGTTGTATGTACCCTTCTAGTTATTATTCTTACCCATAAATCATTGTCAAAATCGAATATTCTATTACTATAGTTCATTGTTTCCTCAAAAGAAGAAGAAAAAAAGACAAAAAAATGAATTCTTTCTATTATTAAAGTACTATATCAATTGAATTTACTTTTATTTTACTGATTTGTGTCTAATATATATATTTCCACGTTATTTCTTCTGACATGGGCATCTTTGGCGCATTAGAGAGAGAGAGAGAGACAGACAGAAGAGAGAGAACAGGAACATAATGTAAGTTGTCAAGGTAATATGATGAGAAAAAAAAAAATGAGAGAAAAAGAAATCGTCATCTCCCTATTTCTCGGTCGACTACATTAGTCAGTCAGGGTATCTGTATAGAAATTGATGTGTCAACTTTATTATAAATGTACATAGAGAAAAATTAAAAATACATGGACATAGACAATAAAAAATCATTAGGATGGTGATGTGAACACGAACTTCATGAGAAAGAATGAGAAAGCGAAAGAGAAAAGAAGAAATACTTTCTATTATATTTAGTATTGCTTGCAGGTTTACATTGCAGACCGTGCTGATAGAAGCTTTTCTTCTTTTCATTCTTTATTCTCTCTTCTCTTGTGCTTCTGAACATATAAATCGATTTTGGATTAGAAAAATGAGAAACAGAAGGAAAAAATATCCCAGAATGAATTAACTATTCATATGTATGATGTACACTTGATTATTTCCGCTGAACTTTAAAAATTTTTTGATAGGAAAAAAAAAAATTGCCTGTCAACAGACTCAATACATTGTCGATAGAAACTAATTAGCCGTTAACAAAACAAAAACAAGTCAAAGGTTCATCAAAATGATGTTTTTTATTCACCATCTGCGCTACAATTTGTTATTCTATTTTTCACTGTTATATTAAATAAAACAGATGATCATCGTCACATTTAATATATGGACATATGGTATGGCGAAGACCAGCTGTCTAAATCTAGTTTTCTGTCAAATTTGATGACTGATTATCTTCTGTCTCGTTAATTCAATGTATGACATTCTATTCTTATGTCAACTACTATAAAAAAAGAATGTCAAGATTCTCACTTAGAACAAAATACATCGATGTATTTTACTCACGCAGAATAACATACAAAAAATGCATAACAGAACACACACACACACACACTTTATAATTTTTCTTCTCTATTAAAATAAAATTGACCATATATATATTTTCTTTTTCTATTGGTTTTTATTCTCTTTATTTGTCTATCAAATTCCATTTATTTTCTAGAAAAACAATATAGTGCGTTTTTTCTATTGTTTTTGTAGAACATACCAACTAAACATCAGTGCAATAGAAGAAGAAAAAAAAAACGAGAGAAACTAGTGATACTAGTTATTGTTTTTTTCATCCCTAGAATGTCAATAATGATCGAACAGATGACGAGACAACGAATTTTATTTTTTTGCGCGACTTTGATCAAATAATAACAATGAATTATCACATTAACTCTTTTTTTAATTATCACGTAATAAAAAAAAATAGTCGTGACTATTTTAATTCTTATCTCATTATCTCCGTAAAGATGACATGAATTCAGAATTTATGTTCTATACGTTTCTTTTTTTTTCTAATGCTAAAAACCTGTTCAATTCTATTAAATGACATTACTAATGAAGGTCGAAAGTGAATTTCTAAAATAAACATGGCAATATATATATATAGAAGTATGTATGCATGGCAAAAAATCTCAACGAAGCAGAACAAATTAGATGATAAAATTTCAATTAGTTCAACATTTTTTTGCGTTTTCTAATATATATATTTATATATATGATCATATATTCTTACACAAGAATGAGTCTTTCTATATAGTATTATACACCTGCCTTTTCTCCGCTTCGCGCAGTAAATTTAGTTTATTACATTTCTTTTTTCTCTATTAACACATTAGAACATAGAGAATATGTGTTGAAGGTTCTCTTCGTAGCACCAAAAAAAATGGTGTACATACATACATAAAATGGTAATAAATAAAAAATTAATCATCTTTGAACTTAAGCAATCAGATAGAGTATTGATAAGATACTAAAGTGATTTGTATGACAACAATTACGCATTTGTTTTACTAGACTTTTAAAACTATATAATAACGAAAAATGTGAGCAATATAGAGTGAAAGAAGAAATTTCAAAATGATGAACCATCACGGGTAGTATATTCCATAGTTAACAATCTATCCACGCTACTCTAATGAGGAGACTTAGTTAACAACTTTTGGCTCTTCTGGATTACTCATAAAAGTGAAATAAAGAACTTTTTACTTTATACATGTACAAAATTCAATCTAATACATTGCGTTTGCAAACCGTCTCTAACAGTAGTCGTTCTTCAGATCGTACAAGTAGCATATTTATTCAAAATTTATCATGATAGAACAGACAAATATAGATTTTTATCATTGCACGATTTTAACTAAAAGGGTATATTTTAAAATTAACCGACTTGTCTTCTAAAAGTGTTTACTATTATTAATTTAAGTGTTAGCTATCGGTATGAAACTGAAAAAGTATTACTTTACCGCTGAATTGTTGCTTTTACTATGTTACATAAAACATATTCAGTTCATTTGTTATTTTATCAAACAAAAAAAGAAAGAAAATTTTATTATCGTTAACATAGTTTCAAATTTCTTCTTTATAAAATGAGAAATAACAGAAAGAAAGTAAATCCCGTTTTTTTCTATGTAAATTAATTATTTTTCTAAAACTGTAAGTGAAAATTCTAAATTATTCCATGTTTCCAGTCTCTGTTTCAAAACAAATAGTTATCAACATTATAATAATGCTAGAGAAAAAGAAAAATTGGATGTTTGCAGCACATATTTCTGATTACACTATTAAAACGAGTGAGTGGAATTTAGACGCCTTTTAGTAATCGCGCAATGATAAAAATCTATATTTATCTGTTCTATGATGATAAATTTTGGATTATATGCTACTTGTACGATCTGAAGAACGACTACTGTCAAAGAAGATCTGCAAACGCAATGTATTAGATTGAATATTGTAATATGTATGAAGTAAAAAGTTCTTTATTTCACTTTTATGAGTAATCTAGAAGAGTCAGAAGTTGTTAACTAAGTCTCCTAGTAGGAATAGTATGGACGCTGTGAATAGTAAACTGTCTGTTTCAGTTCTAATTCGCCCTCTGGTGTTTATTTGATGTAATTAAGACTTCCAAATTTTTTGATAAAAAGTGGTCTCAATTAGGAAGACTCGAATACTTTCTGTATCACTGTTAATAATTAGAGCCGCTCAGATTGATTTGGTCTCTCATTTTAAACAAAAATGTAATGGATTATATTTATCAGAAGAATATTTAGATCAGAAAACTATAATATGGTTTTTTTCCCTTTGATAACCAAATAGTGTTAGGGAAAGCGTATACCTCAGCTGAAATTCAAACTCAGAACATTAGTTATTCAATCCCATGGCCAAATCTAAGCTACTAATAGACCGATCTAAACAAATATTATTCTCAATGAATGATATTTAATTATTGAAGTTTATTTCGTCTTTTTACGTCATATCCATTGCTAACGAGATCAGATACAATAAAATATTGTTCACTTTCGTTTCCTATAAGTAGTCACGACTTTTGCGAAAGGAAGTCAAGTAAAAGTATAGTTTTCTAATTGACTGACTCCTTACTCTCTCATCAAACTATTTTGGATATATACAATTACAAACGTGCCTTTTCATCAAATGAGTACAGATCAAATGTATCGTAAAAGAACAGGCATAGAAAGTAATATACTCATCCTAATCTGTTTTAGTTTTAAGAAAAAAATGTTTAATAACGTTTAATTATAAAGTCAAGTGATTCTGATATGTTTTCAACTCTTTGTACTAGAAGAAAATTACCTGATCGTTGATATCTTCGTCTTCATCAAAATTATTTGTTAACAAATCATTTTCGTTATTCGTTCGACATAGTAAAGTTGTATTATCATCAAGATCGTCAATAAATATTGTTTTCAATGTAGAAAGCATGATGTTACCACCAAATTTCACACTTTCGTTAAATACAATCAAATGACTTTTAGCAGAATACTTCGCCTATGTATGTGTGTGTGTATATATATATATATTTGAAAATAACTCAATAATAAGTCGGTTCTTCTTCTTCTTGTTCCACCATTATAGTCGTTGTTGTGGCGTTCGTTCTGCTAGTAAAAAAAAAGAATTTTTTCTTTCTTTTCTTTTATTATAGATTTCTTTTTATTATATCTAATAATACAAGGTCATAGGAACTGGTTGGCTTGGAGAAAAGAAAAAAAATATAGAGAGAAGAGCTTTTAGAAAAATATGCGCATATACAGATGGATCTAAAAGAAAACAAAAAAAAAAGAGTGAATAAAAAAACAGAATGAACAATTTTCTGGTAATGTATAGAGAGTGCTGAGTGAAAGAGGAGGGGTACTCATAAATTCGCAAACAGTGTCCGTCTTTTCAAGTAATCAGATTTCGTTCAGACCTCTTTTAATTGATTTTCTTTCACTTAAAAAAAGAAACAATCAGATTTCGAGGAATAGTTGTTTCTGCAGCACTCTTGTGCCCTTTTGTCGTTTGATTCTTAATGATGAAAATAAATGTCAGTCTATCTAACGTCGTTTTCTGACAAAAGAACAAGCAAAAAACAAAAAACGCGCCTCATAAAAACAGTTGTTTGGATAAATAGAAACATACATACATGCCTAAGTAAAAATAACTTGATAATAATAAAAACAAAAAAAAAGAAATGCGAATGGATGATCACGAAGTTAGATATTTGTCAAGAAAAATAGACAAAAACAATACTGATGATAATAATGAGTGGGTATATGCGGTTTAATTTTAGGATCTTTTATTAAATAATCTTCCCGACGACAAAATGCTCATCACGTGCCAGTAGAAAAAATAAAATTGAAAAATAAAATGATTTTTTCCTCTTTCTTTATCAGTCATCGTTATGGTTATCCACACTAACGATACAAGGAATAGACAATAAAGAAACCAATAAAAAATGACATTCTGACCTTTCTAAAGTTCGAGCATCGTTTGCCAGATGTCCATCTATTCATAAAACAACAATGCACAAAATCTCACAGTATACTGAAATAAGAATAATCAGAATTTTTCGAACTGATAGTAGCGACACCAGCAGTTTTCCCCTTTGTATTATGAAATGTGTTCTCGGTCTCTATCGAAGCTGGATATTAATCAAAATTTGAATTGCTACTAGAGAATCTTTTAGTCTGTCGATATCTTTTCTGTCATCTGGAAAATTTTGCTAAAATGACTTTTTTTTATCGGCCTTCAACTGAAATATATTGAGAATATTCATGCAGAATTTTGAGTACTAGTAAACGCTTTGTATCGCTACCTATGGGGAAGTTTTAGTGTATAAAATGGCGTCTACTCCAGTCAGAGGCGCTCCGATACCTTGGTGAAGGTAGGGGGGGGACGAAGTAAATTTCGGAGTAAATTTTTATGCTTGTAAAAATTGGAGCAAAACTAAAAGAAAAGATAAATATTCTAAGCAGTTTTCTTCTAAAGCAAGACTGAATTTTCTTCTATCTAACTCTATTTACTTCAACACAAAACCTTATAATATAAAAATACATTTACTGAAGCCATGATACAGTGTATTCTACTTTTCTACTTATCTTATGTTATTTATGTACATGACACGTGTGAAATTATAGAAAGTTCACGTGACCACTCACTTGATGTTGCAACTACTCAACCCCAACGTCGTGAAAAGTTGACAAAATTTCCGTATGGGTACTGTTTCCCCATGACATTGTGTAATCCATGCGTAGGACACGTGACTTAATGCAACACTTCGCGCATTTAATACACTTGCACAATTTCTACTACAACCTCCTTGTCATCCTGTTTTTAAACATTTAAATTCTGACAAAATTCTAAGTCGAGCACCAGTACGCTCTGTCAACAATAATGCGTAATCGTGTATAACAGGAACGCGTTCTAAAATGTTCTTTTTTACAGAAATATGTCGAAACCTGAAAAATAGGAGTGATAAATTCTTACATGTGCACAATATTAATGTGACCCATGTAAAAAGTTTACACATCCCACCAGTACATCTCTAGTACGCAAAATCATTAGTACGCAAAAACATTTCCAATTGCTTACAAATGGCTGTTGGATAATTTGAGTCTTTCAAGTTTGAGAAGATGCTGACTTTTCTAAAGCTTAGAGAAATGAAACAAGTGATATGGAAAAACATAAATATCATACCACGCTTTTTTTGTCAGAATGCAAAGAATTATAGAGAATAAATATGATGATAATTAAACACATCTTAGTTCTTCGACACCCGAAATCTCTTTTGGAAAGTCAAAGAAAAAAAAAGACAAATTTTTTGCATAAACAACATTAACAAAAAAAACTCACAATAAATACGATGTTCTCTGTTAATACTTCGACGATGTAATAATAACAGTAAATAAGAAAAAAATTTTGTTCTTGTGGAATACATATGTGTATATAGATAGATACTGAGAAAAACAGAAATATTATATAGGACAAGGAAGGGATTCTTTTTCTAGCACTATACGATAGGTTTCTGATAGAACAAACATATAGAAGTTGTTTTTATTATTATTATTAACCATACCACTTTAATATGAGTATAGATCAACTATATTATTTGATTCTCTTATTCTAAACATACATATTTGTATTGATTAGTAACGCGAGTAATTATGCCAAATTAAATAGTTTTAGAAAAAGAGAAATAACGAAACGTTTCCGATTTTGAAGCTTGAAAAGCTAAAAATATTTTTACTACTTTAAACAGATTGTTGATCGTTTGTTTCTCGTAGCAGAAACAAAAACAAGGTGACAATAGTGTGAACAACAAAAAAACATTAGCTCATCAATTATTTCTTGCTTTTTTATATGTGATGAAAAAAACAAATTCTACATTTCCTGCTAAGTGAGGGCGAACATAATTAGTTCTCATTGTGATAAATTTGTTTTTATGCGACTACGCAAATTTTACATGTAAACAATAGTGTCTATAGATAGATAGATACTGATAAATATCTTATTATACAAGTTTATCTCTAAAAGCATCATAGAACCTATAATTAATTTTTAAAAGGTCAAGGATCTATGGTCGGTTTATATTTTATAGTGACAGCTACTAGAGAGAAAACACATTTAGTTAAAGCACAGAAAACCAAAAAGTTGATGCTGTCAAACTTTAGTTCTGTATATTCTATTAAATCTTATTGATGAAATAATAATGAACACGATTTCGATTAAAATCAGATGAAAACGAAATGAAAAGTGTGAACGAGATGATGAAAACGTGAAAAGATATCTGATTAATTAGAAAAGAAAAGTAGATTTAGAGATAAAGATTATACGTTTGTTACGGACAGTTAACAGCAATCATTTTCTGACAATAATATGCATGTATATATAGTTTATATCGTACTAAAACGTCAAGATTTGATCGTCAAACGAATTCTTTCGTGAAGTTTTTTTTCTTACTACTGTCGTTTATCATCAAGTGTCATTTTTTTTTGTATCAGGTGAAAACTAGTCATATTTTGGCATAGTATAAAAAAATCAATGACAAAAAAAGCTTCCAAATATGTCAACATTGTCGAACAATTAATAATATAATTAGAACACGTTCTGGTATTAGTTATGTAAAAATGATTGAAATAAAAAGTATTTTAGAAAATATGAAAAAGTTTGAATTAACAGAAAATAATTTATTAATGATTATTATACAATATTAGCTACTTTTGAATAGCTATAAACGCCATATAAACTTTTATGATCACTAAATTGTGATCAGCACCTTTAACATTATTCCTTTCTCAACTAGCATGCAATTGGAAAAAAATATATATAATTTTATGAAAAACATGGCTTTTTGATCTAATCAAAAGATATTGCGTATAATTTGATAACAAATTCTTATCTATGAGAGTGTACACTACCGATATGATAATCTTATTTTATAAATATGGTAAATTTTTAATCTTTTAATCAACGGGATTTGTTGTCGTTAGGTACACGAGAAGTGAATAATAAGATCTGACTATACAAAATTTCACAATCAAAAAGAAAGATGAGCTTTTAAATAGCTTTTACTGTGTACATATTTTTTTAAAAATGTTAATGTCTAGTAGATACGAGAATGACTGACTGATGAGAAATTATAGCAACAAATATAGAGTATCTTCTTCTTTTTTTTTCAACATGAAAAGTAAAAGAACATGATAGAAAGAGACGATAGATGGGAAAAGAAAACGAACAAAGACTGTGTCAAGATAAAAAAAGAAACATATTTGGTATCTAAAGATTAAGATGAGATTTGATAAATCAGTAATTATTACAACATTACATGTCAATAAGACATCCTTGTATATAACTATCTCGGCATATATCGAGCAGACATGTTCGAATTAGTGGATATTTTGCATTAATATAAACAACTGAAAATTTAGAAAATATGCTTGTATGCCATTTAACGTTGTCTTTCAAACTCTATAAACATAAAAAGAAAATAAAGAGTTAATTTCCGTCAAAATAATTTTTTTTTATCTAATACTATTATCTCTTCTCAAAATACCTAACAATAATAAATTGAAGCTAACAACTGCTGCTTTTTTTCAGGTAAAATCGTTTTATATTTCCTCGTCTTTAGTAAAAATTTCTAGTAATTTGATCTACTCAGATATTTAAATTGTTTTATTATATTAACCTGTTTAAATGATTGTCTATTTTTCAGTATTAATTTGAGAATAATATAGGCACCATATGATGCTTGTTCAAATGTTGTTATCAATTTTTCTAGTTTCATCGATACAAGACAAGTGTACGATCTATAAAATGAATAGAACAAAAATATTATTCAATTAGAAAATAAAACAAAAGATTTTCTCATTCTACACTTACGAACTAACCCTGAAATATCTTGTTTAAATATTGAATCAACAATACGTAGACATAGTTCATCATGCGCACTCATATCATACAGCAAATCAAAAATAAATTCCTAAACAACATTTAAAAATGTATTAAAAAATCTTTAAAATATAATAAATATGTCTGTATACCAAATGAGCTGGTAATTTTACTGTAATAGAGACTAAAGCTTCAAATAAACAATGAGATGACGTTGAAATGGAACTAGTTGATGTTAAAGTAGAACGTAAATAATCTAATAATGTTTCATACGATGTTTTCTGATTCTAAAAACAAAAAGAATAAATAATTTACGTAAGATAATGCGAACATATTAATAAAAAAAACAGTGACAGCGGTGGGATTCGAACCCACGCCCTTTCGGACCGGTGCCTTAAACCGGCGCCTTAGACCGCTCGGCCACGCTGCCTATGACATTCTAATAACACTAAGCTTTTCTAGCCTCTGTATTTTCATCTTACTGATAGAGATGAACTTTTATTAATAATAAATGGAAACAGTACTCCAACTAAGTTCGTTTTTCGTGTTCCTTCATCGATATTTGCTGTCTTACAGAAAAGAGCCTAGAAGAAGGAAAAAAAAGTTTGTTTTATCTAATTAAAAAGATTTTTATTATCTTCTTACGTTAAGCAAATATCCAAGAACATTTTGAATAAAATCATTCGGAATTATCGTAGAACTAATATGTTGACGAATTTTTTCACATTGTGAAATAAAATCATAATAATACGCTTTACGACTGAGTATTTCATTGCCCTAAATTTCATACAAGAAAATATGACTTAAAAATAAAGTTTTAGATTGAAACTCAGTTCTGAATACAAATCTATCGCTCATTATCAATCTATATAACCAAAGCAGAAGCAATCCACATGTCCCATAAAATAGTTGTGAAAAGAGACACATTGGCTATTTAGAAGCAGCAGGAATCTAGTACTAGTATTTTCTTTGAAAAAATTAAATGATAACATACGTTATCTACAACAAAAAAAGGTTGACTATTACAGAAAATATCTTTTACAATTGTGTCTGACACAAGAGTGAAATGTAGTCAATACTGTGATAGAACTGAAAATCACCTTCAACGTTTTGTTCTTACTTGATAACAATAAAAGCTCCATTGAATCGCACGAATAATATCTTTTTCGGACCATGTTATTGACGATGTTTTTACTACTTCAACATAAACACGCATTGTTATGTAAACACTTTTTAATAATTCATGTGTCATTATCTAAGAGAACAAAAACTAAAAGTATAAGACACTGAAACAAGCAGATCGTATGGGATTTAGTACTATGTTACTCTCTTCAAAAATTAATACATATATTTGAAATAAATCAACAATAATTGCTAAACTACAGTAAACTGACTATACATTTTTCGGGATATATTTAAGAAACGGATATGAAGTACTTTCTGATGATGCGAAAAAACTGTTCTGAGAGATTAATAATAGCACGTTACATGTTTTTTTATATTACATAACCAAGGCGAATGGTCAACATAAAAAAATTCAATTAAATATTTTGTTGATAAAAACGAAAATCTTTTTCAAAAGTTGATACGTTCCTTTACTTATCAGTGGCTGTTAGAATCTGGAAGAGTATCTTCATGCGTCACTGCTCAACGGCCATGAACATCTCAATCCCCAATACCATCAGACGAGAAAAAGCAAGAGAAGCTATTTGAAAGAATGTTATTTCGAGCAGTTCAACTCATATATCTGAAATAACGACAAGTTGGAATACGCTATACTTTCAGTATGTCATCATTTAGCTATTAGACCACGTGCCATATGTTGAATTCTATTTCATTTTCTTCCATTTTTAATAACTGGTGTAGTCCGTGATAGTTTTTTTCATAGGACACAAAAAAAGAACTTGGTGAGTTTTAATCTACTCGTAAGAGTTCATAACAATAGTGATATGGGCTCAGTAGAAATAATGTACAATGTGATTTCGTTTCTTGTTCTTCTTCTTTTATTATGAATGAACAGGATACTTTCAAAAATAGCTCCCATTATAATACAGAATAGTAAATATCCAGATAATTAAGAAAGAACAGGACATTGAATCACATTTGGTCCCTGTTTAAATTAAAATCTTTCATCTAATGAATAATTTTTCTGCAAAAATGAAAAAGTGCACGACATGCGTTTTTCCTAGCAACACTTATCATCAGGTCTCCAAGTATTTTTTTCGAATGTGGGACGAAATGGGAAGCGCTTATTTTGAGAAATAATGTCAACTCAATCTAAAAATACCCGATGAGCTCAACTAAAGTCACATACTGCAAATAAATTAAAGTCAATATCACTTCCACAGTCTACATTCTTGCGCGTAGTCGTTTCTTCTTCTAGTTCTAATTCAGAGTTCATTTTTCAAGACTAATTTTTCAAATTTCAAACAATAGATTTTTCCTTTCAATTAGGTTTTATCAACAAATTCATATCACACATATGATAAACCTTGATACGCACACGATAGAAAGAATGATGTTTTTGTGGACAGCTCGAATCTCAGAATAACTCTACTTGCTACAAACTATTCCAACACCTATATGATAATGATCTTTATGACAAGATGTGCTAAAGAGAGCGTAAATCTTTGCATATTAGACAATAACCCGCCAATCAATACTTTTCCTATCAAATATGGCACAGAAGTAGTATGACTTCAAAAAAATTGCCAGTGGGAGACAAAATATGTCCCTCATAGGGATGTATTTAGTGAAGAACAAAACGGTCGAATGGGGGACATTTGAGAACCCTGCTTGTCATCGTTATATTTGAACAGAGATACGTCCCACCGAAGAGAAAGACAAAAATTTTTAAACAGAATACGTTATTTTCTTTGTCGGTTTGTAAAACAGAGTGTGCCGCTTTCTTCAATTCGTATGAGTTAGGGGCTTTTCTGATTCCTTTTATGCGGTATTACAGTGTGAAGGACGACAATTAGTGTTATGATGTTTATCTACAAAATTAAAAAAGTATTTCCTCTTGCGGTAAATAGAGAAGTTGGAATTTCCGCGAAAAATACAACCATGTTTTTAATAAATTATTGGAAGATTCAACAGGTCTATGAACAGTTTCTTCTCGCCGCTGGCAGAAGAAATTCTAAGCCTTCCACGGCCGAAAATTTCTTATCAATGCACATGACTGCATGTGAATGTGATGTAATATAAGCAAGATTTTTCAACTACCTCATGTCTCTGTGGTGACGATGGACGACGCCTTCAATGATAATGATTATTATATTATACAAGGGAAATTCCATCTTTTAATCTTTTTTTAATAACAGTCATAACAGTGCCCCAAGAGGCCAGTGTCGAAAAACATTCGCTAAAGAAATTAGATTATCATACGAAATATTTGCGGTTGTTTCCTGCTAGCTGTCCGAAGTCACTTCTACGTCTTTTCACGTAGAAAGTGGCTCCATACGGCTAGCGGGAAACAACCATATTGGCGGCAGTTCAAATTCCCATTTTAATCACTCATCCACACTGGTAAAAAATTTTGACCAATGGAAATTGGGAAGTAAATACTCCACAGAAACTGTTTCACACATGTGTGAAGAATGCAATGTCAACTCTCAATAAACTTGTATACTCAAGAGTACAATTCACGTAAAACTAATTAGTTTGCGCTCATTATAAATCGAAATCAGACAAGAACAGCGATATGAGGGGCGTCCTTACTCTACTCTCTAAGAATGGGTAAAATTTTCTACACAACAGGACCAAAGCTTGAAACAAATTATTATTAGACTAGGAAGCACAAAAAGACTATACAAGCATTATGTCCAAAAATTTTCATCTGAGCTTCTAGGGAACTATGAAGATGAAAAAACTACAGTTTTATATCAGTTTTCGTAGATTTTAGTGAGCACTCTCTTAGTAGATGTACTTGCGTACGAGTACTTGCTCAATTATTTATCTGCCGTTTTGGGGATTTTTTGCAAGTAAATCAAGTACTTAAATTACCTTACCTTCTTGTCAAGTACTTGGCGAAACACTTGCTCAAGTAATCCACAAGTATCTGTGAGAAATCTAATAAAATCAAGTATCTGGCAACTACTTTCATATACTTTGACAAATAATTATCAGGTACCATTTTACAAAAATACTTATCAAATGTTTGTCAAGTGCTCACAGAAATTCTTAAGTAAATAATACCCATCGAAGTACATTCACTAGTTTATTATTCTGGAAAAAGCGAGGCAACTTTACCGTGCATTTTTTATTTTAGTTTTACCATAAGTTGCGTATTTTGAAAAAGTAGGTATCTGCCCGGACGACACGCGCGATCAAGTTTATTCTTACGTCAGTCGAACAAGCATTTGATTTTCAAAATATACGAGTAAGATATATTTCAATATGTTTTGGTGGCAGTTCAGCAAAGACAGCTGCTGTTAATAAAACGAAAAAATTTCTTATTGCAGTTGAAACGGAGTTCGAAGTGAACGGAGAGCTAGTGTTGTCTAACTCGAACGGGACTCAATGGGAGACACGATCAAATCCACCCCTCTTTTTATTAATTTTTCTCATTGAAAATAATAAGACTTATAAAATTTTTGAAGCTCATATTCGTGATCAGCTCGGCGAGCTCGATCCAACCATGTATAATTCAACTAGATTCGTTTTTGTCACGGTACTTTTGAATTTCCGGCACCTTGCACATCATCGAGTTTTATTCAAGCATAAAAGGGTTAATTGATATATCTGAAAGATTACAGAACTAAAGCAGAATATCAAACGAAAAAGCTGGGTCCTGGATTTTTATAAGTAAATGAGTAATTGTATTTTTATTTTTTGTATATGAAGGAAATTAGCTAGAACCAAATGCAATTTTTTGTAGCTGTTTTTTTCTTGGAAAGATATGAAAGAAGGCACGTCTTCTCCGGAAACTTAATGCTGATTGTCAATATGATGAAAACGGAAGAAAAGAGAGGTACTCATACTCTATTTAAAGCCACGTAAACCAAAAAGCATCCTGAAGTTCGGCGCGGGAGATGTCTTTTCTTCCTCTTGATAAAATACTTCAACTTTTTTTTCCTTTATTCGTTGAATCTTTTTTTATATTTTCAATTAAACGCATGTAACAATTAAAACTACGCAGTTAAGATTTGTAGAGTAGTAGTTCACTATGCTAGACTTATTATTGTCCATTAATCATGTTTTTCTATTTTTGCACACGAAAGATGTGAGTATTACGTACTGTTTAAAAGAGCAAACATAGAGCAGAAGATATGGAACAGTGCAACATACAAACATATTTTTGTTTTTTTTAATTATTTTTATTCAATATATTTTCCATAATTTTTTCACGAGTTTGCTAGAAAAATCGATTTTATGAGAGTACTATTCTAGATGATTAAAGTTGTTCTAGACTGTATATTACTCCTCTAAACAGCACATGATTGTAAGATAAAGTATAAGAGGGTTTGTGCTGACGTGCACTGGATCCAAAAATAACCTGACCATTTAAGTTATTTATAGAGTATGATTTTTCTAAAAAATTTTCTATTACAAATAATTGTTGTTCTATTATACGTCTCTTACAGATATGTCATAATGACTTTTGTTTCAAGTATCGATTATGCTGCCTAACTTATACTAAAGGTAGACTATGAAATACTAAAAAGATAACGACAGAGAAATTAATAATGATAGAATTCAGTTTCTTTCAAAATGATCAAGATGAAAATACAGAACTTTTCGAATTATCATATATTTCATTTGAATTCTTTCGCAACTACAGTAGTCACTGGACCGAAATTGGAACGAGGGTACTATTCTAGAAGATTAAAGTTGTTCTAGCCTGTATATTGTACAGTGTGTATCCAGCGCGGCCATTAGGTAAAAAATTGAAAATCGACTTTTCGACGATTCATATAATGATTAATATACTTCAAGTGATGCTCTATTTGATGACACAACAAATTTTGTTATAAAATTTATGTATCGCGGGAAAACAGCTAATCAAAAATTAGCCTGAAATAGTAGTATAAGCAAGGGAGAAAAGACGACTTTTTCTTTCTTAGCATCGGAGAGCATCCGATGCCAAGCATTTCTAGCTCCGGAAAGCATTTCCTGGGCTCCGGAAAGCTCCCGGAGCCGCCTTTTCCCCCTTGAGTATAAGTGAAAAAATGAAATTTTCACACTAGTCAATGAAGCTGTAATAAAAAACGACATATATTTAAAATCTGCATGACATCAGCTATAGATCAGTAAAAAGAAAATTTTGAATTAGACTTATGATAGCTGAGAAAATTAAAAAAAAAGTTTCTCAAGCGATTTTCCGAAGGGCTAAGTTTAGTAAAGTGAGCGCGCGAAAATTAGCGAAGGTCCAAACTTAACCAAACTTTTAGAGAATGTTTTCCTATATGCCCTACATCTACGGTGAATGCGCAAAAATGCGCAAATGTTTCTGAAGCATACAGCGGGTTTTCCAAAAAGCGGTTTTCCCTGAGTTTTTCAGGTATTTTCCATTTTTCTCGGTTTGGAAACGTTTTTATTCAACAAAAATTACATATTCGGAATCAGCGCAAGAAACTGCATCGAATGATGTGCGATTAGTAGGTTATTTTTAGCAAAAACTTGTTGGATCTAACGGAACGCTAGAATCGAAGCAGAGGTGCAACCGGTACCGGCGCCGGTC